CATGATTGCATCAAAAACTGCCCAAAATAAGTAAACAAGATATAGTCAATGAGCTTCACAAAGCAGCAAGAAGAAATGTTTCTCGTCAACATACGATTATTAAAGGATTTAATACTAACCATATTTTGCTTTGGTACACACCTAGATTAAAAAAAAAAACATTTTGCTATTTTGTCACACCATTTATATACGTCATTAAATAAGCTGTCGCAACGCGAACCGATTGAACATGATCGAAGTTACGAATTGGCGGTACATGGAAAAACTTTTGTAAGTTTATTTGTACTGTCGGATGTTATTAAATAACTATACTTTGTAATAAATAAATAAATAAATAAAAATAATTTATGGCAAGCTGACCTGGTTGATTTTCAAAACTATTCCACGTTTAATAAAGGATATAAATATGTTCTAGTAATAATCGATGCTCTATCAAAATACGTATGGGTTAGAACATTGAAAACGAAACATAAAAATTGTGTCAAAAATTCGATGCAAAGTTTATAATCCGAATCAAGACGAAAACCTAAAAATTTACAAAACAGATATTGATACAGAGTTTTATAATGATTTTTTTAAGAATTTAATGAAAAATTATAATATAAATCATTATTCCACATACTCCGTTAAAAAGGCCTCCATTGTAGAACGAGTAACAAGAACTTTAAAAACTCGCTTTTAAAAAATATTCAGTCTATGCGGACGATATCAATGGTTCAAAAGTAATTTCGATTTTGTTGTAAAGCGGTATAATAATACTTTACATCGCATTACAAAATTCAAGCCTATCAACGTTAATGATTCAAATGCGATTTGAGTTATGTCAAACATCAAGAAGTCTTAAAAGCCTAAGATACGTGAAGGACCGGCGTTTCACGCTGGCGATTACGTTCGTATAAGCAAATACAAAGGAGATTTTTACAAAGGTTATACCCTTAACTGGTCTACAGAAATATTTCGTATCGTTAAAGTCAACCAAACCAATCCTCAAACTTATTAAATAGAAGACAAACATAATTAAAAAATTCTAGGCTCTTTTTACGGTTACGAATTACAAAAAACTAAATTTCCAGACCTTTATCTTATTGAAAAAGTCATTAAAAAAAAGGAAATAAGCTTTTAGTAATATGATTAGGTTTGAGTGATGAAGAAAATAGTTGGGTGGATAAAAGTGAATTAGTGGTTTGGGTATATAAATAATGTATTGTTACTTAATAATGTCATTTTATACTTATCGATGACGGAAGGCAGTGGTATAATTAATAAAGTAATAGACAATTTACCGTTTGAGTTACATTTACCCGGCTATCAATTTTGCGGCCCCGGAACTAAATTTCAAAAACGGTTACTAAAAGGCGATCGTGGGATAAACAAATTGGATAAAGCGTGCATGCTCCATGATATTGCTTACACTAACAAAGATTCGGGCGCTCGACAAAAAGCGGATTAAGAAATTTTTAAAATGGCTAAGAGGAGGTTGAAATCAGAAAATGCTAGGAAAGGAGAAAATATTGCCTCATGGATAGTCAAAATGCGATGAAAGCGAAAATCCAGGCGGGAAACGGTATAAAAGCATTTAAGAAGAGGATAAAAAAAATACAGTCTCAGTTGAAAAAACTAAAATCCAAAGACAGTCACTCGGCTATAAAATATGCCTATGCAGCTGCCAAGAAAATATTTAGTAATAAAAAGGAATAAGTTTACGCCGTTGTATTCCTCTTCCAAAGTGTGGAGGATTTTTACCACTTATTCCCATATTTTGCAGGATTGTCAGTTTTAGGATCATTAGCCGTTAGAGCAGCGGGTATAGCAAAAGCTGTTAATGATTCAAAAGCAGCACAAAAGAGTCTTCAGGAATCTGAAAGACACAACAGAATGATGGAAGCCGTTGCTCTAAGAAAAGGATTATATATTAAACCTCATAAACAAGGAGCAGGTTTATATCTTAACCCCTCAAAAAACTAATTAAATGGCTACCCAGACGGGCACTCACTAATCTCGACATATTAGAACATGCAAGTGGCATTCCATACTTTCTCGGCGTTTTCATGAGTAATAATTTACCTTTGAAACCGAGAAAGATAGAAGGTGGAATACTGAATTTGGATAGCTACGGAAATCCTGGAACGTGGGTAGCCTTTGTAAAGCACAATAAATACGTAGAATATTATGACAGTTTTGGTAATTTAAAGCCCCCGTTAGAATTAGTTAAATATATGCATAGCTTACCTATTAACTATAATTATGCACGACATCAAGCTTTTGGTGCTACAAACTGTGGACATCTTTGTCTAAAATTTTTAAGAAATTACTGGAAAAAGCATTTATATAGTGTATGAAATAAATAAATGTATCAGTATAAAAATGTCTTTCACCGTATATATAACTGGGATAAAAATATGAATGCGTATGTGTGTTGCACCTATGATGCGTATATGTTGTGCGTGTGTAACAAGGTAACAAAAAAAATAAAAAAAAATACAAATTAAAGAAAAAAAAAATATGTAAATAAAATTTTTACAAATTAAAGTTAAATTTGCATCCGTACGTTTGTTGCATCTATGATGCGTACATGTTTTGCGTGTGTTTGTGTACATATGTGTGTGTGTGTGTGTGTGTGTGTGTGTGTGTGTGTGTGTTGTGTGCGGGTGAGTGTGTGTGGGTGAGTTATTTTTGATAGATTTTCCGTCTCGTTGTATTTCAACTTACGTAACCATAATAAAAATATGGATTTTAGTTGGTACATAGATAGATTTCTCTCTTTATTATTTACACTAAAGTAATTGTAAAGTCTTGGTGCCTGAAATTGATAATGCTGTCGAGCAATCTTACATCTCACTCGCTCAACTGTGAAACGTTCTCGTCTTTTTCCAGTGGAGGGAAGATATGGTACCGTAAATTTATGGTATTTTTTTATACAATTATAGATATATAGTTGGCGCACAGAAAGTACGTTTGCCGTTTTGAATAATGCAGCAGTTGGATGCCTAAATGGAAGGTATAATATTACTTTGAGGAGATATCTTTGTGCTCGTTCAAGTTCTATTAAATGTATTTTAGCTGCTGCTCCCCACGAACATATACAGGGTATTTTTGGATCGCTCCCGAAAACTAAGACAGGCGACAGCACCAAGTATACCTTTGATCATGGGTTACAAATAAATTTGATCCTGATGAAAAAAAATCATATTTTTACAACGTTTTATTAGCTTTATTCACGCGCCATCATGTTAGTACAGCTAAATGAAACGATAATTTTTTCACATTATCTGGACGGATGAGTCGACATTTACCAGAAACGGCATGTGGAACCGAAGAAATACACACGTGTATTCAGAGGTTAACCCGCACGCTGTTCGACAAACCGGACACCAAACCCGATGGTCGGTTAACGTATGGGCAGGTTTATTTAAGGATCGCATGCTGGGACCAGTGGTTCTGTCAGAGCGACTGAACGGACAGCGAGACCTAAACTTTATAAATGAACAGTTGGATGACATTTTAAACGACCTATCGTTGGCTGAATATCGCCGCACATGGTTCCAGCATGATGGTGCCCCTCCACATTTCGTGAGGTTCGTCCGTGAGCGCCTCAATGAGCTATTTGATGATCGCTGGATCGGCAGACTAGGACCACACGCTTGGCCACCTCGCTCACCAGATCTGACTCCGTTAGACTTCTTTTTGTGGGGTATGTGAAAGAAAGGGTTTTTAATCGTGAGTGTGATAGTGCTGACGAAATGCGCCAAAGGATTGTGGATGCTTTCGAGAAACTACGTACGGACTGTGTCGAAGACCACACGATGATGCCCCGCCTGCACCCAAATCTACCTTGATATGAATGGAGCACAATTTGAGCCGCATCTCATAAGACCACGGAGGATTTAGAGCGGTAAGCTGTTTCATAACTATTTTTTTTAAATAACTTAGTACTAGACTAATCTGAATAGGTACATAACTGAATACATGAGAATAATAAACATACCTACACGATGAATAAAAACGCATGATTCCAACCTTGGTTACATTTCATTTAAGTATTTTTTCATTAGCGGGGAATCGAACCAGTTATTTGGGTTATTTAACCTGTAAATTCGGATTAAAGTGGCTACGTGTAGACAAGCACAGTGGCAAAATAGTAGATTAAGTAGATAAGTTAGGTATTTAGACAAGTGTTGTAAATTATTAGGTATTGTGGTATGGCCCGCTAGTTGCGGGCCGCACGAATTTGCGTTCGCGCGTCCATTGACCTTTAGTCAGGTGATATCAATTCAGTCATTCCACTGCTGGTTTTATGTTTTAGTATTTTCATGATATTTTTTATGAAATTATCGTTTTATTTAGCTGTACTAACATGATTGGGCGTGAATAAAGCTAATAAAACGCTGTAAAAAGATGATTTTTTTTTCATCAGGATCGAATTTATTTGTGACCCATGATCAAAGGTATACTTGGTGTTGTCGCCTGTCTTAGTTTTCGTGAGCGTTCCAAAATACCCTGTATAGTTTGTAATTACACATTCCGCAAGTGCTTTATAAGTTTGTATTAAGAGTGGAAGTTCTGAAACAGTGCGCAATTCTCTAAGCACATAAACTAATTTTCTGAGTCTATTAGCAACAGATGTTATGTGCTGTTTCCAGTTGAGCTTATCATCAATATTTATTCCTAGATATTTTATAACTTTTTTTCTTTCGATTAATGACTTTTTCATTATGATTTATTATCGGTATTGGTTTGTCGATTGCAAGGATAAGAATGGATTTGTAAACTAGAAGATTTAGGTGAATTAATATTAGTTTTACTGAAGCACATATATTTTGTTTTACTTGTGTTAGCAAGCTGTTTTCTAACCATGATGTCATAGTACGAAGACCGACTTCAGCAAGTTGATGTACACATTCCCACGACTCGCCATGAAACAGTATGACTGTATTATCAGCAAACATTTGAATATCAGCACCCTTGAGATTAGTTTTACACAAATGTACTGTAAATGTAATTTACATAAGTGTACTGCATTGTGGCACACCGTAAATGGAGCTGAATTCATTACTTAATAAGCCATCAACCCTAAAACGTTGCTTCCTATCCGAAAGGTAGTCTTGGAACCACATAAGTGCATTTCCCCTGATTCCCATATTTTCCAAACGTGTTAATAATATTGGAACAGATACGGTATCGAATGCCTTCTGAAGGTCCAGGAATACTCCTATTACTTTTTCATTTTTATCAAGATAACGTGTAATATTTGAAGTAAGTTGAAGTACAGCGTCATCTGTGGACCTGTTAGCATGAAAATCGAATTGGTTTTTATCCAAAAGCTCATTCTTTTCTAAATAATTCATTAGTCGCTTGTTGAATATTTTTTCGAGAAATTTAGACATTGTGCTTAATAGTGAAATTGGGCGATATTTATTAGGTGAAGATTTGTCCCCAGATTTATATATGGGACAGACAATTGCATTTTTATAGATTTTGGGGAAAACACCATATTCAAATATCAAATTAATTAAATATGCAATAGGTTCCGAAATGTGTTTTATGTTATATTTTAAAATTTTAGACGTAATACAATCATATCCCGATGAGTTACTTTATTTAATACTGCAGATGACGCTTGAAACTTCCAACGAATCGGTTAGGTAGACGGACATTGAACCGTTTGGTGCATCTTTGCATTTGGCCAATAGAGAAAGAGAACTGTCAGTAGTGTTAAGTTTGGATAAAATATCATTTGCAAGACTATAACCAACCGTTGCGAAAAACCTATTAACATTGTCAAGAGAGTGAGTAGTATTTAAACAATGTTTGAGTAAATCTGTGGAAGATTCTTTCTTTTTTACCATATTACATATTTCCTTTATTTTATTTCAAGTTCTTTTCATATTGCCCTTATTTTTTTCTAATAACACTTTATAATAATTTATTTTTAATTGTTTTATTAATCTATTTAATGTGTTTCGATAGTTTCGGTATATGTGTCCCAATTGCTCATTGTTTAAATATATTTTTAATTTTTTATGCATTTTGTCTCTCTTTCGAATTGAATTGAATTAGGAATGAGGATATCCGCAATAGAACCAGAGTAACCGACATAGCTCAACGGATTAGTAAGCTGAAGTGGCAGTGGGCCGGCCATATAGCTCGAAGAACCGACAACCGATGGCGAAGAAAGGTTCTCGAGTGGCGGCCTCGTACCGGTAGGCGAAGTGTAGGGCGTCCCCCCACGAGATGGAGTGACGACCTGGTAAGACTTGCAGGAAGTCGATGGATGCAGGTGGCTCCGGACCGTGCTTTGTGGCATTCTTTGGGGGAGGCCTATGTTCAGCAGTGGACTTGTGAAGGGCTGTAATGATGAAATGATGAATGACATATTGTTTACGTTCATAACGCCAATGTCAAATAACCACTAGGCGACCAGTTATTCAAATTATTTCGTCAAGCGCACCTATGGCAAATATCCACCAAAAATGAAGCAATTTATGGACAAAGCCTACATCCAACAGAATGAATGAATGATGCTTGGCAATGGCTTGTAATTTTTAATTTACTTGACGTTAAAAGTTTACGCAAATTTATAAGAATTCAAATATAATCGAGGATCTACTACTGTCATTGTTATCCTAGCGGTAGCGCCGTCCAACGGTCTTTACGGGCTTTCATTAAAATTTTTGCAAGCTTGTCATGTCTCGATTCTTATCTCGTCTTTTGTCTCTATAAATATTCCATCGGTTTTTAAGACTTGTGTAGTAATAAGAAAAGAGGGCAGTTCAATCGATAGTAGTGACTTTGATCTCTTGGGGGAGAGTTAAAGCCCTTGTATGCATGATGAAGCCGTAGACATTTTAGTAATCTCTCGTCTCAGGAGTAACTCTTTTTGAATTTGGGGTGACATTAGAAGCAGCTGAACCGAGAAAATAATTAAAGGTTCATAATATATTTTTACATAACATTTAGAAACTACGTATATTAATTTAAAAAAAAACACTCGTGAGTGTCGTGGAGCACTCGGTCTGAACGAAATTCCTTTCATAGTATATTATTTTTGATAAAAGTATTATACTCGTATTATTGATAAAATACAAATAAATAAATTACTAGCGTCTATTAATATAAATCATAATTTAAAATAAAATAATATTTCTTTCATGGCAAGGTAAGAAACAATGCAAAGGGGATAGATATTATGCCATCTCGATTCCTTATAGCCGCCAAGGCTGTCTGCGTTAGAAGGAGCCGTCTGGGAAAATCTTACACTTTTTCTCGCCTAGCCCATTTGCCAAATTCGTAACGCCTAATAAGGAACTTCGTTCCAAAACTAAAACTAAAAATAATTAACATACAGTCTTACTTTTATTGTCTTATTATGTAGTCATCTCTCAGAGACTCCTATTTGCGCCACATACTCAGTTATATATTTAAATAAAATTCTTGTTTGGCGCACATAATTACGTACTTGTGCCATATAATGTTAGTCTAAAATACGATTTAATGTAAATGAACCGGTTGTCGCTGCACGAGAGAGTCCTGGTTTTTTTTCTCGCTCGTAAGCTAAGTATAGCTATTAAATTATTTAATTATGTATGTAAAGTTCTTCTTGCGTTCTGAGAATTATAAGATAAGCACTGAAAATTGCTCTAAAGAAAAGGTAACTAGGACAAACTTTGCTGTGGTAAAAAATGTTCTCTCATACATCGTTCTAGGTGACGCTCGACGCTCAAAGTGTAAATATAAGTTTTAATCGCTAAAAATGTTTTTATGCGATACAACTACAAAAATGTGGCATTTCATTTTTCCTTAACTTGTGTTGAGACCTAGGAAGTTATTTTTTTGGCAGATACTGCCGGCGGCTGCCCGCTCTAGTGCCCTTATAGGGTACCATCATTTCATCGATGCTGTACCTTTCTTCTTCTTCAACTAATAGGCAGTTTTGTCTTATTTTCTCGAGGATGGGACGTATTTTAAAGTAACGGTCATCATTTGCATCGATATTATTCGAAAAATGGAGGTATTTTCTAATTTGTTCATACTTTTTCAGGGGCATGACATTGGCAATAGGTGCATGTCTTAATGTTTGACTCCAATAGTCCCTGTAAGATGGCATTTTCACTACTCCCATTAAAATGGTTATGCCGACAAAGTCACAAATATCATCTTTGGATATATTTATGCCTTTAGCTTGCCCCCCCCCCCTACACATTGTACAGCATATAAATTTGTTTGATCCAGTATTAGATCTATAATATTTTGAAAAAAAAAAGAATAAAAGTAGTCAAGAGGAGATTTAGTATCGGTAGGTGTGCTGAATTGAAACAGATCTTCAACAGTTCCTGCATATTTAAATTTACCTTTTGTCCATTTGAAATTAAGAGGTTTGCGGATATATTTTTTACTTTTTTTGTTACTAATTTCGGTCTATTGATAGCTTTTCTTTTATTCATGTATTTTCTGGAAGTGCAGATAAAAGTGGCGAATTTAATGTCGGTAAGGTATGTAGTAACTCTGACCCCGGTCTAAATATCTCATTCATAAGTGGAGTCAATGGGACTGTATCTTCTTCGTAAGGAGATATAGGAGATTCTTGATTTTGTTGGATATTGGAGTTACTATTATCAGATAGATCGTCCAGGAAATTTAACCTTTCTAAAGAAGACTCTATTGATTTTGGCTCGGAAATAAAATCAGATAAGTCATTCGCCTCAACGTGTTCTAGTAATTTAGGAACCTGGTCTTCATCTTCTGAAGTATTGCTACTATCAGAAGGGGCGCATGCAGGAGTCACCAAAGCCATAATACGCCTAGTCCGCTCTTATTGTGGTTTTACCTTCAATAACCAAAAAAATGTATGCAAAACCCAAATAACCAAGCAAATACACTTAAAGAAATTCGCATAATTGCAAACAAACACAAATGCATTACATTTAAAGAAAATAACCATTAAAAAGATAGCTATTAAAAACCATAACTCTTTTCAAAAAAAACAAACATAAAAAACACCATATAATACAGCATCAATGTTATTCTATGTGTCGGGCAACGTTGAGTGTTCCTAACGTACCCATTTATATGTACTTTATGTCTCGTAATGTTAAAAATACTCAACATGCATCAAACGCTTGTTATATGTCATTAGTAAATGCAGTTGGGGATGCAATAGTAAGATGAAAACAAAGGTTAGTTATTTGCAAACACAATTATAGCAAAATAAATGTACAAATCTTATGACAATCGCGAAATTCAGAAACAAATTAACTTACGGTCACGCATTGCTGCTGCACCCGACGCCATTTTGCTGCTAAGTATGATATTTTGACGTGTGACGTGTGATATACTTTTTTTTAGCTTGTCAGTTTGTTTGCCTCTCCGATTGTAAAGTGTTACCATAGAAATAATTAACAAGTTCTAACAAATAAATATTTTTATTAATAGTTGTATATACTTACTTACTTACTTATGTTCACGCACAATCCCTGACGGGGTAGCCAGAGAGAACAGATCACCAAATGTCACGATCCTTACATACCTCTTTCGCTTCTTTCAGATTCATTATCTTCTTCATACCCTCCCCTCTTCGAGCAATTTGCTCACATGGTCTTCGAAAGTTAGTCTCGGTCTACCTCGACACCTTTTAATATTTTTTTTGACTATACTAAACATTGCGAATTAAAGGGTTAACACAAATCTATTTTCTGTTGTTTACTCATTATCCTTGGCTGAAAATTTCTATCATTTAGGTTAAGGGGAGTTAATTTTTTATCAATATCTGTAATATATTTGTGGAGTATCGAATGTTCAGTTTTTACATAAAAATATTTTAATTAATTTGTCTATTGGATTGTTGTGTAAATTTTGTATGTCGATGATGCCACTTCCTCCATCTTAACGTAGTACGAGATGTTGTGTGCATGATATGGGGTAGTGTTTTCTGTTCGCTGCCATATGTGTATTAATTGTGCGTTGAAGTTTAGCTACATCACTCTGGGATAAATTTACTATCCAAAAGGAAAAGGTGAGGACTGGTATGAAATTTAGTCGGATGTCAGCACTAATAAAAAAAAATAATTAGATCCAACAAGTTATAAACATTAAACAACAAGCGATCTAATAAAAATACTACTACACATTAAACTAAGACTGATATTCGACAGTACCGTTCTTTGCCAAACCACCGAAGTTGTATTGTAAGGGTAACCAAAAATACACAAGCCTAATCTACTACGTCCAAAAGTGAGCCAAATCGGTTCACCAAATTACATTTTGGCTTAAACTTTCTTGGTGAATCTTGGGTCAAAGCCAAAAATATTTATTTGCATGATATAATAAATCGAATAGATGTCGAACATTAACCTACAAACAAAACTATATCTTTCTCAATCTTCCCAGG